AAGAGCGGGAGGGAGGCAGCAGTGAGTGAAATCAAATTGCATAAAGCCATAGAGGGGAAGGGGTGCTAAGACGAAGACGGAATGTTCAGTAATAAACTAATGTATGCACAACAGCTGAAGCTGTATCTGGAATTTCAAATGCAGGGCCAGCACAGAATACCACCAAGATGTGAAGAGAAATTGATTTTACAAGGTAAGGGTAAGGAAACATCAGCTAAGGTGGATGGGAAGGATTAGAATGAGAGGCAGAGATCCTGAAAATAATGGTGGGATGGGAGAGCTGAGCAAATAATCTTGACAGACTATGACAAGCTGTTTGACAGTTATGCATATTCTTCAAATGCAAATCTGAACACTGAGGTGCTGCCCAGTAAGAGTTCTGTGACTTCAATGAAGTGCGTAACAACAGAGAAAATAACAGGCGCAAAGCAAGGATGCACCGCTGCATTACCTTTGAAGTTGAAGGCAATGATGTCCCGCAGGAGGATCTCCTTAGTTAAAGCAAAACGGCCGTAACATTTTCACACAGGACGTGGCACTAACAAATTATTAGGCTTCAAGTTAGCAAGGCTGATGAAAGTAGAGATAGTCTGCAACTTTTCTCCACCCTGGGCTGACCAGAGGTGCCAGTGATGATTTAGAAGAGCCTGCACACCAGGGTAAGGTATAGCCAAGGGATCGTGTGGGACTTGGCAGAACATTGTACATAGGAGCACAAACTTTACGTGGAGTGACATATCATTCCCCGACTCATGAAGACCACCCCTGTTAACCACAGGGAATTGGTTCTGGTCTGAATTCCCTCCAGCTGGAGATCATATTAAACATCTTTCTTGCATGAGGGCTTCAAAAGGCTTCACTTATGAATGTTTATCAGGCACTTTGAGTTGCAGATGGAGGATGCTAGGGAGGTGCTAAATATTGTTGCCATTTATAAAGCTTAACCTTTAAAAAGCAGTCTGTTTCAACTTTAACCGTTGCACATTTTTCACAAGTTTTGTGGTATTAGCTGTGGTTCTTATGCCCTGACACAGGACAGCAGTGTTGAGATAGAACTACTGTATTCAGAACAAAACGTAGGTTTTGTGTAGTTTTTTGCTATAACAAGGAACAATACTGCAAAGCACAAGAAAAGCAACTGCTATGGATAGATGGGGGCTGCTTTGGTTTTCATTTGTTTTGTTTGATATTTACATGCTGCTTGCTTACCTTTGAGATGCTTTAAAAATATATTTATTATTGTATATCTAGTCTACTCATAAAGTGCTGAGGAATTTCAGCCTTGTTAAGATTTGCTCCATATCATGGTACTGTGATTTCTGTTTCTAAACGTGCCTGTATACAGAATCACAGGTGAATATTTTCTTTAATTACCTTGGGAATCATACTAAACCCTGTTCCTTAGGGGGTTTTATTCACTTCTTTAACTTAGATAATATGGGTAATCTCATTGATGTTAATGGATCTGTGTTATGCATTGTGATTTTCTTCTTAGTGGCGTGTATTTATGGTAGTTCTGGGAAATTATCATCTTAATATAACAAAAAAGCAGTATTCTCTGATACCCTCTAGTGGATGTTAATGAATGTTCAAATAAATCACGTGAACTCTAGAGCGTGGTGTGTCCTAGATGGACAGTTTAAGAATTCAGGGCTGGGAAAAGAACTTGAATTCTTATAATCCCAAGTAACATCTTCAGGCTGTGTGAACTGCCCTATCACTCTGCTGAAGTGAAATTATCTGTTGATGTCAAAGGAACTGGAAGAGTTCAGCCAAGTATCTGGTCCCACAGCCTGTATCAGTTATGGGAATTTATGTTAAGTTTCACATAAAAAAGTGAAAAATGTGCTTCTTGTAATGGCTCTTATCGATGGAGTATTTCTGGCATGTAGTGACCTGTTCAAGAGCAGCCATCAAGACTGGTCACTGGAGAGCCTATTATCCTGAAAACTCAATAAGGAAAATACTTAAGCGACTAGAACTGTGTTTTCTTTTGCTTATCTCTTGTTCACTTCACAAAATTATGGTCTCTCTGCTCCAGAAAAGGGCTGTGAGTGATTGCATTTACTAAAGTGAAGGAGGTCCTGGAATCAAAGACACAAACTGCGCATGCTGTGGAAGACTCTGCTTATCTTACTTTTTCTGCACATTGTTGTTGCTGCCTGAATTCTGCAATGCCCCAGCTGTTAATATCCCAGTGAACAAGGGTCAGTGCAGACTCTGTTGGTGAATGCTTGCTGCAGGCAAAATGGGGCTGTTTTCGATACACTAGTGTGAATTGTGCGGTGTGACACACTCGGCTAGACCCTGTGCGTCCCACCTACCCGCTGACTGTTTGAAAGGGGCCCTCAATGCACAGTCTTCCACGTGCATGAGAGATGTAGCCAAGTAATTACCTTTGTGTAGTATTTATCTTAGCGATCAGACAGCTGCTGAAACATAGTTATATGTCTTTCTGTGCTTTTTTTCTCCCCAGAGTTGTTTCAGTGAACAGAAGAAGACCAGTAATCTTGAGGCCTATGTGAAATGGTTCAATAGACTCTGCTATCTTGTAGCAACAGAAATTTGCATGGTAAGTGAAAAGTATGTGGCATGTTTTACCGCATGCCTGAAGTACCAGTTTGAGATCGTACGTTAATAAGCAAACCTGGAGATTTATTTCTTATGACCCAGCTAGGCATCTGACGGTAAGTTTTAGTAATATGTAGTCGCAGAAGCGACCTGATAAATGACAAACATATTGCAAAACAGAGCTGGTGACACACAGGCGCTACACTGTTCTCTTGATGTAGTAGGAGCACAGTGTGGAATAATGAACCCTGCAGGGAAAAACAGAGGGAAAAATGCCTTGAATTATCCTGTGAGATTTCTGCTGGAAAAGATTCTGGTGGAGCAGTATTTGTTATCTGTCATCCAAAACTCTGTTGTGCTTGTGAATTCCCATTGCATGGCTCTTTGTCCTGCTGCCCATTACTGTAACTGTGACTAGTGTTTTTTTTAACTTGATAGTGATTTCATTTTGTTTAACTTGGCCCCATCAAAATGAAATTAATGTTTTCTCCTTTGAAAAGGATGTGGAAGGGGGGAATAGTAATGCTGTAAACAGCCTAGATAGCCCGTGACTCAAAAGCATTGCCGTTTGAAAATCATCTTTGGAAAAGGTGGGGTGATTCCAGTCCAGTTAAAATGTGTATTTAAAATGCAAGCTACCATTTTCCTTGGCCATATTGCCGAAAGAGCCAGGAGAGGGGAAAGGGATTAATACAGTGAAACAAAGTCTTTCTGGGACAAAGATGCTGCTGTTACATGGGTGTGAAATCCTGCCCTTAGGAATGTCTGTGCTGATGTGCCCACTGACGTGAGGGAGGCCAGCAGGGAGCTGAGGCACTGCTTCGGGGCTGTTTGGCCTGCCTGTTCCAACGCTAAGACATTAACTGAGGCAAGCCTGGGAATTGCCATGAATTTCTTCTGTGTCACTGCAATGAAAGCTTTGATTTTAGACACTGCCAGTCACCAGCATCCACTAGACTGGTGGAACAGAATTAGGGCCAGTGAGTGACAGACGATGACCCAAGCTGTACATGGACCCCTGCTATGTATGTAACAAATACCCAAGATGCCCTCCAATTCTGCATATGCTTATTAGAGATATTAATTTATTTTAATTTGCAGCCTGCAAAAAAGAAACAGCGAGCACAAGTCATCGAATTCTTCATTGACGTTGCCCGAGAGTGCTTTAACATAGGGAATTTTAATTCGCTGATGGCAATCATTTGTAAGTACAACTTCTAACCAGGTCTCTCCATCAGCTGTCATGGATGAAAAGGGGAAACCTGATTCTCATCCATGGCTTTCTTTTCTTCTTTCTCACTCACAGCTGGGATGAACATGAGTCCAGTCTCCAGGCTAAAGAAGACTTGGTCAAAAGTGAAAACAGCCAAATTTTTCATTCTTGAGGTAAAAAAAAAAAAAAAAAAAGTGCTGATAAACTGCTTGAATTATATTCTGGATTTTTTTTTGTTTGTGAATTTTGACATTTTTATCCAGGCACAAGATGTTTATAGACATGTTTCTGGCTAAAGTTTCTCAGCTGTAGTGAGGAAGGTGTGAAGCTGCTGATACGTAGAGGGAAATCGGAGCACTCAAGTAAATAGGAGGACAAAAAAGAACAAAAATACGAGCCTGATTGCAAGCCATAGTGCTTCCACTGATGCCACTTTTGTTTGGCCACAGACACAATGCTGAGTGTAAAGCTCCCAAGGTTGAACAAGCTGAACAAGGCCCAAGGTTGGTTTTTGTATTGAGGATACCAGGATTTGGCATATACAAAACGTGCAGTCCTTATTCTTCACATAAAAACCAGTAAACTGTTACTAGAAAAATCAAAGGTACAAACAGCCACAATCTGTAGATCTTTCACTGTATTTTTGGTTCAAGGCTTTTGTGGATTTTTGAAGATGTAGGCTAGGCTCTGTTCAGGGTTTGCTACAACTGAAGGTAAAGTTGTCTTCAGAGGACTCAGGTCGCTTCCTAACCAATGTGTCGTCTTTTGTGTATCTAGCACCAGATGGACCCTACTGGTAACTTCTATAATTACAGAACAGCATTGCGGGGCGCCGCTCACAGATCGCTCACCGCACACAGCAATAGGGAGAAGGTAGGTGTGACCACATCTCATTTATCCCCAAGTGGATGGTGTGCATTGCTGCTGAGGGTCAGTGGCTCAAAGACTTGACGCAAATGCTTTCCTCCCTTCCATGGGACACCAGTGCAAGGCTTGTGCACTGCTAAATGCAATTGAAAATGTAAATCTGTGGCCAAAAGGAGTCTGAGATGGATCACAGGGCTTTTCTGGACTTGCTTTTAGACATTGGAGAGCTAGGGAGGTCAGGACACACAGCGTGGAGGACTTTGTTGCAAGAATCCCTGTACTCCTTGAAAATTCACATCAACTGAAAAACATGATGGAACAGGTATTCCAGACTAAAATTACTTTTGTTTTGGTATGGAACATGAGCCTGGCAGGCCCAGGTGGAACTGTGTTTTTGTTACAACTGTGCCAGCCAGGCCTCTGTGCCAACAAGCCCCTACTGCGCAGCGTGTGATTTGAGATAGAGAGCAAAGGGCACAGCACTCGGAGATGAAGTGGTTCTCCATTTGCATTAGGGAAAGATGACTTACCACAAGTCCTGCAAAGAAGTCTGATCTGAATCCATTGCAGCAAATTTGGGGTGAAATTCTGTCCTCATGAATTTTCATTTCATTTGGTTGTTGCTGCCATCTCGGTGAGCAAATATTGAAGTGTTTTATCAGTGTTCGTGGCAGATATGTAGCTTTCTGAGATGTCATTGATGCTGCAAAAATCAGATTGATGACATGTTAGTGCAGGATCCTCCTGCTTTGTGCCCCAGTGTGCTTCTTGTTAATTTTTTTATTTCTCCATTAAATTTTCTTCTTTTTTGTTTGTTTTATGAAAGAGGGTTTGTTTTTAACATTTCAATTGCACATAGTCATAAATGGGTACTCTCTGCACAGAGCGTGGCTAAGGTAAAGTAGATGCTGCATGAACAAGCATAATATGGAATTTAGTATTCATTCACTAGAGGAGCCAGGCCAGATGTTACTCTCACATCGCTGTAAATTTGATGTAAATCTGCTGAAGCTAATGGAATCTCACAGCATTTACAGTGCAATGAGATCAGCATCTGGTCGCAGGCTGACTCAGCTGCAATGGGAGTATACCGAATTGTTCTGAAAAGCACTTCTCTGCGCAAAGAAGAGTCAATGTCTTTGGATGTTTGTGACTGGCAGAGAAATTGTCATTCTCACACACTGCAGTGAGGACCTGTCAGTCTGAGATGCTTCTGCAGTTCGTTTCTTCTGCGACCGTCATATATTCAAAACAGTTGCTTTATCGTTTTACTTAATTTCCTGCAGAAGTTAGCAATCTCTGTCATATCTCTACCCCTAGCTGCTTAAGTCTGAGGGCAGAGAGATTATTAGATTGAAAGGAATCTATTTTACATAAGAAAAAGCCCATGTTCTGTTTCCCTTGTGTAGATAACATTAGTTCAAGAAAATGTTCAAGCATATGATTTGGTAGCTACTCCCACTGGGTATTTTACAGTGTCAGATACAACAGAATTTGTATCAAGATTTTGTAATTCTTGCTGGATGAATTAAGGACATTTGTTTATAAGATAGATTATTGGTTATTTATTTTAATGAGTTTGAATAAAATTGAAAGAACATGATCACTTTTTTGACAGAAAATGTTGTTTCTTGGCAAACTTGTGGCAGAGCTCACTCTGAAGAAAATTTTTATCTTGAAACTGAATTGTGCTTACCAGAGTTTGAGATCTGATCTTCTCCACCCCTCTTCTCGACAAGTGGCCACCCCAGAAGCCCAGGTGGAGGCTTCAGGCCTCAGTCCATCTGCTTGAGAAGGAAGGAGCTCTGGAGGGAGCGCTCTTGTTGCAGACCAACAAACTAAGCAGTGGGTTATGTCTCACAGGAAGAACTGCGTGTAGGCTCAGAGGAGCTAATGTTTAACTGGCAACCTCACCAGAAACATTACTTTATTCTCTCCTCAGGGCTGGTGTCTTGGCCTGCTGAATTTTGAACAGCACTTGAGCAGAAGCACAGCTCAGCGGCTAAATTATATCCTGAGGGAGACAGGGTGAGCCAGTGACCTGAGGCACCCTCCCTCCTCCTACTCTGTGCACACATCTCACCCAAATCCCTCGTGTGACACCGGCCTTCTGGCACAAAGAGCACTGCCTGATTTCATCACCTGCTCCATCCTCATCCTCAGGGTGCTCATGTGAGACTGTTGCACAGGCTGGAGGAGAAGGGTCTTGATATACCCATGGAGAATCCCCTGACCTCAGTCCTCACTGTTCTCATACAGCCCTTCTCTCTGTGTGTAAACGGCATAGTTATAACTACTCATTACTTGCCCAGGAGCAGGCTTGTAAAAAGGCACAGCAAGGCAGCCCTCAAAGCTGAGAGAGGCAATACAGCAGCAGAAGATAAACCTTCCAAAGTGCAGGGCAAGAGGACTGGTAATGAAGAAGGGCTGATGGTTTCATGCAGAATTCGGAGAGGTGTACTTGTTAGGAACTAAGTCTAGTTTTATCTGTGCAGTCAGCTGACCTATGCCATCTCCAAAATTAAGTCATTCCACTGGGAAACCCTGCATTGTGCTAATGACATTTTTCTGGCTTTGAAATGTTGGAAGTATGTACAGTGCAGTACTGTGCGTTGTTTCTGCCTGATACTATGGAGGAAGAACATGTCCGATCTCATTAGCTTTCTTCTTTCTGCAGGAGGCAATTGTCCTTCAGCATGTGGGTGGGTTGGATGGCACGGAGCGGGGAATCAAAAGGGAGTGAAATACGAGTTTCTGGCACTAACCCCGATTTTATGCTAGCAAAGTGCCTGGGTTGAATCCAACATTAGAGTGTAACTATATCCACTTTTGTTGCTTTTCCTATTCGGAAAAAAAAAACATACAGGGTAACATATTTTTATTGGGGGAATAAATGGTGACCCAAAGACAGAAATCTCCTGAAAATCTGTAGAGAATTGGTATCCTAGGTATTGTAGAGAATTGGTATCCTTCATGCCTATGTCTCTGATGCCTTTTGGATGCATATGAGCACAAGCTCTACCCATGCTCGGAGCTGGCTGGTGGCTTTGTAGCCGTATTAGCATGGCATTGAGCCCACATTCATATACCTTCCCTCTCAGCAAGGCTTTTCGTTTATGTTTAGTACCACTAATGATCGTCACCTAGCTCCCTGGCAGCATGGAGCAGGGCAGAACAAGCTCACATCTGCCTGCAAAAAATACATACAGAGAACCTGGCAGTAATTTCTAGCTGGGCATCAGTGTCTGGCTCCAGCTCTCTGTATCTTTCCACCTTAGAAAATCACACTGGTTATAGAGTTATCATTTTTGGTAGAAAACATACCACATAGACGCAATAGCATTCTTTACCTCATGTTGATTGATCTAGTTTGGATGATATAGAAGTGAATCCTGAAACACACTTAGCTCAGTTTGCCTAGAAATTGTTCCTCCTCACCCTGATAAGAGGGCTCAGGATTTTGAGGGGTTAGGCTGTGCTTTGTTTCCATTCCTATATTATGTCAGTGGGATGTATCAGGATAATGCCGGTGGCTCTTGGTGTGTCAGTCCAGGGTTTTTTTTATGGCTATTGCACTGACATGACAGAGTTTATCTATGGCTGTCCCATAAAAAAGCCAGCAGAGATGCCGATCTTTAGCAGTTTACTGCATGTGGTATTTTATCTGAAACAGAAATTGGCTTCCATTTTCACAGCAAGAGTTGGTGGTGGCTTGTAGACTCCTTGCCTCAGTAAGTGTTGTCACGTCTATGACTTGCTCACACTCACTGTTGCATCGTGAAGGCTGTAGACTGGAAATAACAGCTGCCAATCCTGTTCTAGGTCCATTTCATATCCCGTTACAGCTGATGTACAGCATGAGATGGAGTAACAGTAAGACATTAAATACTTAACTAAAGGATTGCTCCCTTGGCCTGTCTTGCGTGCCATGAAAGCATTTGTAACTTTGGTGCACACTTAAGCTACAGCTGAGTTAATTTACAAACCGAACAGTGGAAACACTGGACACTCTACCATGCGATGTGCTTCCCTTTAAGTTCATGGTGATTAAGTTTATACTTAGTAGCTTAAAAGACAGATGTTGCTGCCACAGGAAAATGCTCACTGAGGTGGCTGTTGACCTTAGAGCTCAAACCCTCCCAGTGGCCTTTTTCTATCACAGTGCCAGTGCTGGAGAGATGAGTAGACTCAGATTTGACTATCGAATCCTAGAGCTCTGGGAGTCAGCTTTGTCAGGGACTGGTCCTTCGTATTATCTTTCTTTTCCCTTTGAGTTATGACACAAGAGGACCCAGAGGGAGTCTGCTGCACTCTGGGTCTCTGCTGAAGTGCTGGGAATGCACTTCAAGTGCTGTAGCCGGTTTCTGCCGTAGAACATCTGGCATCAAATTTATCCCTGCTGTAATTCCATTAATTTCAAGAGTCTTACCTAGAAGTAGACTTTTCCTATAGCAAATTATGACCTGCCTCTGATGGCATTAGAGAGAAGGCTTGGATCACTGCTATATGCCACTTTGCCTTAAATGATGCCCAGGGCTTATTTTGAGCACTACAATGATCTCTCTCGCTACTGTTGGCAGTTTCCTGTCAACTAACTTAGTATTTTCAATCCTACTGTCTGCAGGTTAATTTGGAGAAGCAGGTTGTACTAATCAGGCACCAGGAAGGAAATTACATGCCTCGAGAGGTAGCCATGCATGGAGCTGTTGAAAATGAAACAGCTCCTGATTAACTGTTTGTAGGCAAGTCCTTTGTCATTGAATTTTATTCTGTCTTTCCTTGTTCAGGGACAATACTGGTTCTTTGGTTCCCAGCTGTCTTTAAATTGCTCGATTTGTGTATTCAACATCTTTGCTTATAAAGACCCAACAGAGAAAGGAAGAGTTCTGCCATTTTATTTTGCTCTTTGCTGTCTGATCTTGTCGTCAAACAGTGAGGCTGCTAATAATAAACTCGGTTATTAGCATTTTCTTAGTCATGTTACTCTGCTGAGTGAACATTGTCTTCAGTTCATATTCACTTCAGCGTACATCCTCCTGATGGCTGAAGGTGCCTCTGTACCTTACTACCCTTATGCTTGCCTGTCACTATACTGCTTTTTAAGTGCACAGAACACTGAAAAGTTAGTATTTCTTTTTTTCTCCTCTCTCTCCTGATTGAGTTCTTCTTTCATGCAGAGAAAATAGTGAACTGGAAAGATAATAGTTATGTCATTTCTCTTCACAGATTGTGATCCCCTTCTTCAGCCTACTGATCAAAGACATTTATTTTTTGAACGAAGGATGTGCTAATCGCCTTCCAAATGGACACGTCAACTTTGAAGTAAGATCTGAAAATTGTTTTTATCTATCCCATTCTGACAGCACTATCTGAGACTGTTGGCCTGCAATTTCAGTGCAGACCAACAAAGTCTGAATATGTCAAAAGGAATGATCTCAAGTGACTGTGTGAAGGTTAAACCAATCCCAGAATGTTTTTTAAAAGAATTAATAAGTATATTTAATATAAACATTACACGCAGATCATCCTAACTTGCTTTATGTTGGTTGGCTGCTAGAAACATAATGTCAGTAGTATAAATGATTATACTTACGGCTTGGAGGGCAAGATGACTTTTTCAGAAAACATGGGAAACTATTTTTCCTGAACACACACAGAGAAACAAGTCAGTATAAAATGCTTTATACTTCATTTTATCTGCCTTTTTATCCCTTTCTCATTTTTCATAAAGAGGTTTGGCAAAGTAAATTATAAATTACTTGTGGTCATTGGAGAAAAACTAGAATACAAGCAGAATTACATAAGGAGTACACAGCCACTCTGTCCATGAGGTAAATGTCATGCTGCTGATTTAAGGATTTGAATGTGTTATCTCCTGCCTGTAGGTTTTACAGAAAAGAATTTCTATTAAATGCAGCAGAAGGATTTATATTCCCTCACAGCCCTGGAACTAGGTAGTATTAGTCCCATATCCTGAGTAATCCCAGTTTTGTGCTGGAGCAGATGGTTTTACACTAGTACAACTTGTTGGGAGTGGCAGTGTGCAGGCACTCCGGTTTCTGCATTGTGGTGGCTGTGTTATTGTAGGCTGGTGGAAGGGCAGAGGTGGGGTCCTTCTGAAAGAACTGCCCAGTGTCAATGAGAAAATACTTTTTGAGCTCTCAGATTCTTTGCAAAACATTTTTTCAGCATCACTTTGGTTGCATTGAACTTCTCCTTCAGTTATTGGCATTGTGAGATAGTGAGTAATGCATAAAATACTGAGCCTGGCATTGCCTTAGTATCAGAACTGTTACAAGACCTAAAGAGTTATGAGGCATTGGAGTCACTCCACTTTATGTAATTTATATCTAATTCTGCTCCCTCCTGTTCCATCAAAGTTTGTCTTCTAAAGTACATATGTGTAACCCATAACTTTGCTAATGGATACATTTTCATCTAAGTACAAACTGAATTGGCTTGCAAGAAGGAATGTAGCGCACCCTTTCCTCTCACTTTCCCCTGTAAATGACCTGTGAAAATGTACCCATCTAACACATGCAAGGCTCTTTTCTCCTAATAACCTTGGGGTTGGCATGAGGAATCAGTCTTCTGCTTGGATGTGGTTGTATTAGATAATCTTACTGTATCTGAGTGGAATGGTTTTACGTTTACAGAAATTTCTGGAACTGGCTAAGCAAGTAGGAGAATTTATAACATGGAAGCAAGTGGAGTGTCCCTTTGAACAAGACCCTAACATTATCCACTACTTGCATACTGCTCCCATTTTTACTGAAGATGGTAAGACTCTGTACAATCTCTAATCACTGAAAAGATGTTTCTTCATCATTACTAATTAACACCCTGATCCATGCTTTGGTGATCTCTCTCACTGACCAGTCCCGGTTCTTTCCTAGCTTTCCTGTCATGCAGCGTGTTTATCGCCAGTCTATCAATGGGTTTTTGCAAATAGAACCTTCTAGCTCATGAAGCTGCTGCCTGATTGCTTTTCTTTTGTCCATAGCTTCTCTATAAGGCACTGTCTAGGAAGTTGCCATTGTGGCCCTATTTTTGTAACCAAGAAAAGAGGCCACACAACCATCTCATGGACTGCTGTGAATGTCAGCTGTCCCTTAGCCGCTCATTCTGTGATTGATGGAGCCAGAACTAATCTCTTCAGTGAACACAGCCCAGGGCAATGGTAGTCCAGCTGACCTCCGCCACTACACCAAAGAAATATATCTACAGAAAAGAGTTTTAAAGAAAAATATTTTCTAGTAATCAATTTAAGCTGTAGCTATGAAAGCCCTGTCCTGAAATTATTTCTCTGATTGTCTTTTTATACTTATGTGTCCTCTTCAGTTTGGTATCCAGCATGTCAGACCGTATCATTTCATATTGGTTCACATTAGTTGCCTCTTGGTACATTGTCACGCACAGAATTGTCTACAGCTATATTCCCATAAGCTATACTGGTGTTGGGTTTATTTTTTTTTATTCTAGAGGCAGCTTTCTGTACTAATGCAAGTTAAGGAGACCAGACAGTTTTTATTTCACAGACTACTTCAGAACACAAAATACTGCGTCAAAAATCCTACCTAAATCCTAAGAATAATGACTACCAAAATAGAATAATTAATGTGATTAAAGTAGTATGTATTGAAAGGAGATAGGATGGAGGCATTTGTTCTGTTTCTAGACTCTAAAGGGACAGAAAGTAAAAGTCAGAGGTATCTCAGAGGTGGTGTTTAAAAGTATGGTTTTCAGGCTACTGGACCAAAAAAGGGTGACCTCAACCCAGTAACTGTTTGCAGATTTTCTCTCTCATGACCTCCTATATATCCATGCTGCTTTCATGAGATGCCCTTTGCAGAAGCCACTGCAGGCCTCCCCTGTTACCCAGGGGAAGCGCAGAGCAGAAAAACCTGCCATGAGTAAACGGTGAGAGAGTAGATTAGAGATGCAGCAGTGGTATGTGAAATGCTGTGCTACACTTGTCACAGTGTGGAGGAATAGTGGGCCAACACTTGAATACTAAAATGCAATTGAATTGTAGCACAGACTTGAATACTGGGATGGTTTGAGCATTAAAGAATAAAGCGTCGCTAAAAGCATTGCTAAACAGTCAAATGAGGAAATGTGTGTGAATGCAAATCACAGCCAATTTTTAAAAAAATCTGTGAAGACAGTAAGATATTAATGCATCGCCAACTTTTGCAGAGGAGACTCTACAGCCTAGACACATTTTGGTATCATAAAATGCATTCTACAATGCAAAGTTTTGCAGAAAAAAAAAAGACTTGTTTATTTTCTTCTACTGTGTTCCTTCTCTGGTTTCTGTAACTCATTCTTATCTTGAAGGTGTTTGGTATTCATTAATGATACTATGTCCCCATAAGCTTTAAAAGATTGAGGAAGATAAGGTTGTGTTAAGTAATGGGAATATCCTTAATTTTAACAAGTTTATTTGTTTAGCTGTCAGTTCTTACTGTCTCTTTTTTTGATGTTCATATAACACTTTGGTAGCAGTGCTGTGAAGGAGTAAATGGGGCCAGATCTCTACATGCAAAACCAGAGACGATGTAACTGTTTAATATTGTTATAAGAAGGTCATGCTAACATATTTTAACTCTGGGCTGCTTTACTGTTCCATCAAAATTAACCTAGCAGCTTTCCAAAGGTAGACATCTGAGCTAAACATCAGTCTCCTACCGATTACCAGCTACCTGATGGACCAGGAAGTTTTCAAGTTTCTCTTGCTGTGTGGTACAATATAAGACATACAAGAATGCAGGGACGGGGGGATTACTGTTGCTGTTGGAATAACACGTTTCCCTTTTCCAGGTTTGTATCTGGCTTCCTATGAAAGTGAAAGTCCAGAAAACCAGACAGAAAAAGACAGGTGGAAATCCTTAAGGTGACTACTCATTTTATCAGCTCATTTCTAAAGTACCTCCAAAGTGCTGCACTGATAGTCAAAGCTTGTAAAGCGCTGGCATTTAAAATGTGACCTCTGATGGAGGTCTTTTCCATTTAAGACTAATCTACAGATCTGAGGCTGCACTGATAAAAGGTAACTGTAATCTCAAATTATCCACTGTTTAAAGAATACCCTCCACTCGAGCATTTATATAGTGCTGCACCCGTGCAAAAGAGGCCTGGTGCAGATGAAAAATGCTCTACGTTATCTTCTTACAGTTTACATCTCTTATTAAAGATGTATAATGGTTTGGTGTAAGTGAGAATCTGAAGAGAGTGATTTAAAAAAAACAAGCCACCTTTATGTTTGCTTTTTTCATTGTTCTTATGTTTTAAATTTACAGATCCACTATTTTAGGAAAGACTTGAAGATTAAGAGATTATTGCAGTAGGTCAAGGAAAAGAAATCCGCAAACATTTTGCACTACTGATTCCAAAGATGCCTGTTTGGGATTTAGACAATTTCTTTTGTTTGAGTTTTTTGTTGGGTTTTTTGACTGCCTAACGTTGATGGGTGAACTGGATTCATCCACTGAAATCAACAGAACTGTGTGCACAATGACGCTTTTCTAACTATGATACATGGAGAGGAAGGACAGACTATTTGTGGCTGTGCCCAAACTGCATCAGGACCACTGTAACTTGCCTCTGAAGGAAATCATAAGAAAATCAGGAGCATGGTGAACCATGGTACTGCGAAAGAGAATGGAAAAGTATAAAAAAAAGAAAGCAGAAGACACACATGAATATTTCAGAAGCAGGTGCTTCAGACAGCAGCTCTTTAAACCCTCTGAGGATTGTAAAATTAAATCAAACACAGACACAGCAGCAATCTGGTTAATTGCTGAACGAAGAAAGAAGAACTTGATCTTACATTAGCAGTCCCCAAGCCTTGTTGAACAAAGCACTGACTGCTACAGGTATAAGCTTCCAGCAGATGAAAACTGACATTGCTCACCCATATGTATGTCACATATAGACTACATCAGCATGGGACAGTCATACAAACACCATGAATTTTTACAGCAAATAATCTGAAGTATGACTATTGCTTAGTTATTCTTCCCACCACTGTTGTTGCTTTTTCTTACTGTGAATCTTGGCAAATCTGAGGAGGGCACAGAGTGTAGACGGTATTCCTTAAAGACCCACCACCACAACCACATCTAAAGCTGAACCGAAGAAGCAAATGACTCTGGACTCAACCTCTATTTAATGTATGTAGTGTATTCCCTAATTTTGTTGATGCTGAGATGCATCTTTTAGAGGGTTTTATCACACTGAAAGAAAAATGATACTGCATTACCATTTGGAAAAAAAAAAATCTATTGGGTTCCAATTAATACAGTACTGTTTATTTTGTAACATGATACTAGGAGGATAGGAAGGGGGAGGTAATTCCTCTGAATTTGGGAACTACATGGTATGCTCTAAATTAAAGACAAAAGGTTTCAGACTAGAATGAATGCACTAAAGTATTTGTCATTCTTGAGCAGACAAACATTTTTCTCTTTTTTTATTTTTAGGATCTAAACCATGTTCACCATTTCCTTACAAATAATATGAAATAGGGACTATGTCTTGTATTTAAAGGTGCTACTGGACCACATGTATATGATAATGAACTATATGGATATTAGATTCAAAACTAAGCCCAATAGTAGACTAATTGTTTGTGTGTGGAAGGGATGTTCCTACCTGCCCCAGAAAAGACCTCAAAAAGCTTAAATGAAACCTAAATGCCACATGATAATGAACTTTGCATTTTATTACTGACTTGATGCTGGCCTTTTCAGATGTTCCAGCCTTTCTCTGGATGTAACCCTTTCTTTGAGGTCAGTAATAGTTTTATTTCGATACAGAGTGATTCCAAGTGGCTGTAGTGTTTTGAAAAATTAGGCTAATCACAAAACCTGGCTGTGTTGGCCTATGCATTTAGCCAGAAAACTGGAACTGCTCCTGCCCTCTGCCAGGCCTCAGAAGTTATCCATGCCTGACTGAGTTGCTGAAATGTGAGGCATTGGTGAGTTAGTGTTTGAGGGCAGCTCTGACAGTTGAGCTGATCGGGAGTACAGAAGCCTGAGACATGCTCTATGCGATACTAAAGGTTTGTAGTGTCTGCAGTGCAATTCTTATGTTGGGTTTTGATCTGTGAAACCCTGTGCAGTCTGGAGCGTGGCCGCCTGGAATGCACTGCTCTTGCAATTGCTGAGATGAGCAGGACAGCTGCTTCTAGATTTGCCTGTGTAAGGGCTTGGGGCAGAACTTCAATTCCCCTTTTCAAATAGTTCTATCAGCACATTAATTCAAGCAGGGGGAACATAAAAATGTCATCTGTTTACTCAAGCTTTGTACGAAAAAACAGTGTAAGGATGGTACAACATCATTCCAAGCAGGGAATGGTCACTCTTCTGGTGATAGTGTTAATACGCTGGTTTTTAATTTTTGTACGTGAGCTGAGAGCTATACAGAGAAACATACATGCAAAGCCATTCTTTCAAGCAGAACCATTTCCAAAATGATGTCATTAAAAGCCTGTCAAATTCCAACCAAATTTGGAGCAATAACCATAAACATATCTACAACAATGCTAATGCTTACGTGTGTTTTTTAAATGGTAAATTTTTTCATAATGTCTGCATCTTTTTAACAGGCATAGTGTGACTTCATGGTGGAAATGTTTTTTTTTTTAATTTACCTGAAACACAATGTAGGTGGATGGCCCTTTCTTAAAATCTGCTTTTTAAAATGCAAATCCTCATTCCTTTTCTAATGAGCCAATCGAGGCTGGTACTGCTGAGATTATAACACCCTGAAGATGAATCAAAATGTGATTTCTCATGATAATACTTAATATTCTTGGGCATCTTCTATGAATTTAGGCAATTTTGTAAGTATGAGTTTAATCAGATGTCAAAGTTTATCACTGTTGCAAACTAAACTGCTTTTGTAGTCCAAAACTTTCAAACCTCAGTGCTTAAAATGGAAGCATAAAGGTCAGATTTAGGTAAGTATTAAGGGCTTAGTGGGACTTTCAGAAGTACCAGATTATCTTTAAGCCTTTATGTAGTCAAACATTTTAAAGGTCTTTTTTCAAAGGTGCTAAACAACCTCATCTCTTGGTGAACACTGAGGCAATTATCGCTTTATAGAGGTGCGTGGCATATTGATCTGTAGTTATTTCATCTCCAGAGATGCTGGCTGCTCTTTGCAAAATGACTTGGAGATGAGAGTACACAGCAGCTTAAAATGAGAAGACAGCACTTTTAAAAAACAGACTTTAGGAATCATAGCTTGTCTTCACATAAATTCATGGCTAAAATCCTATTGTTTTAAATAGAAACAGTGTAAAGCCTTAAGTCACGGCTGTGAGTTGCATTTGTAATTCATATTTGGCCTAACTAGGGTGTACAGCTTCAGATGGGAGAGTGGTTAGGGCCTTGCTTCACCAACAGGTTTTACAAAGTGCGAGTATGACTGAAAACAAAGGATGACAATTTGGGGGATAGATTTCTTCGAAAAATGTATTAACATTACATGAAAATGAGAAAAAGCACCTCCAAATAATTACTATTTTCTTGCTATAAATGTGTAAAGGACTCCTGCCATGCTGACAAGAAAGCAATACCACTTCACCCCGAGCACTAAGCCGCTGTAAGGCATGTAGTCATTAGACTAACATCTAGACAAGTTACTAGTAGTAATGTCATGGCTTTCTAATTCTACTTTTTTCAGTGGATTCACCTCCCTGACAGCTGCTTGAACTAATGCTAACAGAGAAGAGAGTAAAACTAGAGCTATAGGTCTGTAGTGTTACTATCAAAACCCTAAGCTAGTAAGATGTGAATATGATACAGTCTTTCAGAAGCATTAACTTAGCTTCTGTGTATACAGCAATATTTTAAAAGATCCGAATACATGAAATCACTTTGGCATCTCCTCTAGTGTAATCAGAGTGGTAGCAAAAGTCCTATTTTTTCATTTCTTGAGTGTGTCATTCTGCAGCGTGGGCCTAGATAAAAAGCCCAGTGAAAAACAATGAGGGAATTGTGTGCCTTCAGCTTGCATTGAAGTCAGTAGAGGAACTTGCTCAATGCCTTTCAAAAGACACTTTGTCATACAATCTTGCCCTCAATTTCACATGAGCATCAATCACATTACCTAATTAAAGGTGGATGGATGTAGGTCTGCTGGGCATGACAGAATTCTGAAGCTCTTGAAATGAGTCCAGCACACAAGAACCCTGTGCACCAGTGTACACTGAGCTTAGCATATCGCTATTCCCTCTGTTAGGCAGATAACACAGTCTTGTCATACAGCGGGCTGGAAGCTCCCCATGTGGATAGAGGACATGCAGATCGGGAAGCAAACAGTGATCCCAGCCACTGCTGAGATGGCACTTTAACAAGGTGTGGACACAGCTGCTAAAGCACTTCAAAAACAAACAACCGTAGAGATATTTTTCTCAGCTTGAAAATATTTTATGATGTGGTCAGTGGTGATAAGATAATAATTCACTTAAAATCAAGCCAGTCCCTTACAGATACCTTGGTTACTTTGTCATGTTTTATTGCAATAGTTTACGCACCTTTTATTGAAGCACATGAGCACTGGTTTGCACGTGGCTGTAAATCCAGTTTAGAACAGAGCTCAGATTACTGAATATGTAATTGGAGTTATCAGAAAGAAGACATGTTAGTAGAAAAGATGTTATGTGTATCAGTGTAAAAAAGTTACCCAGTTAACAGTATCTGGCATAACAATGACTGTGTTCCATAGAAGGAGACTGATCCCAAGCACAGTGATGTGCCAGAGGAAAAACTCCAATTGATTTTGATGGGCTTTGGGAGCAGTTCTGCAATTATTTACTATAGTACAGTTTTAAGTTATTCATAGGGATTAAATTACATTGACAACTGGTATAGTCCCTGGCCTTTCTTTTGAGCCAGGTGCAACTCTCAGATGGGCAGGTGCACTTAATAATAGGGTAAAAATCTTGCCTTAGCAAAAGTTTGCTTTCACCTTGTTGAAGTTCCAGCATCAAATTTAAGGACTAAATCTGATCCAGTCAATTAATTCTCATCTGAGAGAAAAATTTTACTTTCTGGCTTTAAGAACCTTTTTTTTCTTTTTAGACTGGTAGAAATAAGGCTTACTGTCTCAGGTCTCTCACTGGAAATTAAAACCCCTTTGATTGTGCACTGATTATTTCTATTGTAGTAATTGCAGAATGGGACTAGGGAGTGACAAGGAAACAGGGAAAAGCCCCTTTGTCACTGCTCAGAGGCTCAACTGTGGGCCAAAGACTTTCTTTTCTTTTGTCCTTTTTAACATTATCTGTTGAGTGAAATTACCTCAGTTGTCGGTGC